AAAAACTTGAAGAGCCCTTGGGAAAGCTTGAGGATTTGGGAAATTTGAGAAAAAATGCAAAGATTAGTGCAAAAGTGAAAAGAAATGCTCTCAAAGGTTTTTGCCTTTTATAGGCAAACCCGCTTAACCCTGGCCGTTCGATCTTGATGCAAGTCATCCAACCGTTGATTTACAAGTTCTAATCTGAGTTATTCATCACATCTGACGCTTCGTCTTCTAAGGTTCATATTAGAACGTCTGGCACACGCGCCCAATGCTTCTGGAATCCATAACGGGCATGGAAGACATCCATCATTGAGCATTAAATGAGGCAACGGTTGCGTGTATTGAAAGTTGTACCGCCTCATCCACATTTTTCTTGGAAATGCACCACGATATCAAATCATTGAGGCGCCATAATTAAGGGCGCGTCGTGTTTCCAAATGACATTAAAACCCCTCGTAATTATCTATCTGAAACCCTATGTNCTTAGCACTCTCGAACCTTCATCGTGAGTCCTGACATAATTTTTGAATATTTGCACTTTAATCCTTGAACTTTCACTTTCTTCCATTCAGATTATTTTTCACTTATTTCTCATTATTTTCGCCACATTCATCACTTGTCCTACAAAACATGAATTGCATAGAATTAAATTATATTCCAATATATTAATCAATAATTGCTCATGTTTTGACAGTAAAATAAGTATGTAAAACGTACTTATCAACGTAGGACCGTCACTTCTCCATTTAATACTCTAAATTTCTTTTTGGGCTCCTCCACTACATTCTTTTTGCCCTATCAGCCAAGGGAGGTCGTCCTTCTTCTTGAGAGCCAGCCTCCTTGCCGACCCTCTCGATTTTGTCCCTCATATGCTTTTTTCCAGTGGATGAGGGCTTCATGCCTCACCCCGAGGTAGACGTGGCGGCAAGTATAGTGGCCATGTCAGGAGTAGGGGGTTTCCTCTTGTTAAAATTCTCTGCAAATCAAAAAATATATTGCATCAGCAAAGCATGTATGGGTATTTTACCTGTTTTGCCATTAAGTCAAAGTTTTTTAAAAAGCTGGTCGACTGGACTAAGCGACCGAAGTCACGGGTGGACAATATTTTTTGTAGATTTCGGATAGAGTATCCCAGTCACACTCTGTGAACTCGAACCGCTCGATCGCCCTATACAACAACAAAAAATGGTAAGTATCAGACCTCGTCAGTTTGGAAACGATGAACATAAGAAATGCACTCAGGGGCATCGGAATACGAAGTTTGGACTTTGACGTAGGAAACAAGCTCGCCCTCACACTATTGCCACCTCTCCCTACCCTGGCCACCTCTCCCTCACCTAAAACCAGGCCTCCTTCCACCCCTTGATAGAGGTGGGTAGACCTACTACAAAGGAGGAGTGTGATCCCTAGGGATATAACGAATACCACCCCCTGGAATCCCCTTTTCCTAAGGATCTGGGTTGGTAGACTGTTTAGAAGACATGTAGAGGCATGTCCTTGCCTAGAGAAGCCTCTTTCCATAGGAACTAGGAACCCACTAGTTGGGCCCAGGCGTTGGGTACAAACTGGATAGGGGCCAACCTGTAGAGCCTAAGAACTGTCCAGAAGAAGGGGTGGATCGGCAGGAGAAGTCCTGCCTTCAGTAAATACTCACTAATGACGACGCAGCTCTACCTAGGATAACATGCTCGCTCGTTAGTAGACGGGGAAAGGAATCTTATGTCATAGGGGATCCTATATTTTTCCCTAAGGTTGGCTAGATAGGTAGGGTCTACAGAAGATCGAATTTTGGCTGCCCCCAGGCTATCTCGTCTCTCCCATTCACTTGTTCCCCGGAAGATATGGAAGAAGTCATTAGTTCTACGGATTAACTCAAAGTTTTTACAAATAAAAAGAAGATTACAATACTTACAAGTTTCTCAAAGAAAGCGAAGAAAAAAGAAGAACACTTAGAAGAATTTCAAGAAGAAAAACTTGAAGAGCCCTTGGGAAAGCTTGAGGATTTGGGAAATTTGAGAAAAAATGCAAAGATTAGTGCAAAAGTGAAAAGAAATGCTCTCAAATGTTTTTGCCTTTTATAGGCAAACCCGCTTAACCCGGGCCGTTGGATCTTGATGCAAGTCATCCAACCGTTGATTTACAAGTTCTAATCTGAGTTATTCATCACATCTGACGCTTCGTCTTCTAAGGCTCATATTAGAACGTCTGGCACACGCGCCCAATGCTTCTGGAATCCATAACGGGCATGGGAGACATCCATCATTGAGCATTAAATGAGGCAATGGTTGCGTGTATTGAAAGTTGTACCGCCTCATCCACATTTTTCTTGGAAATGCACCACGATATCAAATCATTGAGGCGCCATAATTAAGGGCGCGTCGTGTTTCCAAATGACATTAAAACGCCTCATAATTATCTATCTGAAACCCTATGTNGGCGCCATAATTAAGGGCGCGTCGTGTTGCCAAATGACATTAAATCGCCTCTTAATTATCTATCTGAAACCCTATGTACTTCAGAACCTCATCTACAACGTTGTTATGTGAAGGCACTTCGAATACATCCACTTCGGTAGATTTTCCCAAAATCATTCCCGACACGACATATAATCAAGTCAACCACTTCGGAAACCACTAACATAAGATCTCCAAAGGTCAGATACATTCTCAAATTCTAACCATTACATAAATAATCATGCTTAGACTTAGGGGACTATTGTGATATAGCCAAAAAAAAAAACCATCCCCTACAAAACCTTACGAAACATTTTTCTTATTTTCACAGTAATTGAATAAGTTCATGTATTACATAAATAATCATGCCTAGACTTAGGGGACTATTGTTACTCCTCGCCTCTGAGCCCTAGTGAAACGAGGCTACGTGGCACGACACGTGGACAGACAGTCAACAAGAAAATCAAAAGAAGACCCAGTAGGTCAAACACATAAAGAAGACAAATATGCCGAGGTCCTCGCACTGCATGACGAACTCTAGGATGAGGTACTTCTTCAAAAACAAAGCTGCTTAAAGAAGTTGAGAGAGGAGCTGAAGTCCACTTGAGAAAACCACCTTAGATCTCTCCTAGGCTCTTCAACTCATCTGAAGCTCATAAATCCGACGATGTCTCTTGTGATAGATTTAAGGATCTACTAAAAGTCAGTGATGTAGACACATGTAATAAAATTGTCAGTGTGTCAGCTTATTGTATAGTGCGGCTGACCTCTTATTAATGTATTAATTGTATGAATAAACAGTGACGTGATGCCTCAATTTGAGAGATGAGGCCACGCGGTCCTGATTCAACGAACACGACGTCGGCTAATGCAGTATAAATAGGTTCTCTTTGTAATTAAGAAGGGGATGAAAAGGAAAATTTGAACAATAATATGTCCAAAATATACACTTGAACTCTTGAAAGAAACATATTGACATTTCATCTATCTTTTCATATATTTTTATCTGCTATTACATAAATTAGTTTGGTTTCAACTCTGCAAATCGTTGTTAGTGCGATTGCCTTGTTCCACCCATTAGAGCTCGAACAATTTTGTCTCTCACCATAAAGTACCTCCAACGTCTCTTTCCTCATCACTACCGTCATCATTCTTGTTGGAACGTGCTGGAATCGTACTTGATTGGGCGTGAGTGGACCCGACATCTGTTGATTCATTATTTGGGGTCAACAGTAATAGAAAATATAATCGAGAAACGATGATTTTATACAATCATAACATGGTTTCACTAAAAAACTAACTACAACGAGAGTCATGTGAATTCTTTTTGTTAAGAGTTTCTATATTCTTCTTGATTTTTATCATTTGTTCCATCAAAGTCACATTCAAATAAGTTTCTTTAAACGTAAGAAGGCGGGGTCGAGCAAAAATATAAAATTAACTAGATCTTTAGCTATTGCGACATGTCTAGTTAGTTTTGATCTAAAACGTTTCCATTATTTTTTATTTCTTCTAGGAAATGATTTTTCTCGAGTCTCGCTCTTCATTAGCCTTGTTTGACAACGTGAGTTTTTTCGGAGGAAAATAAATTTTGGAACATTGAGTTTTTTGAAGAATGTGTGGTTAAAAGTAATAAAATGTTTTGAATTTATATGCAAATTTGAGATGCAATTTGAAAATGAGTGAGAAAAAATAAAAGTTTTGAAGTTCACAAAATGGTAAAACAGTAATAATCAATAAATTCAAGGGCAACCCAATTTACCGGTCAACAACCCAAAAAGACAAAGACCAGGTCAGAGGTTGAAAAAATAGGCATGCCTCCAACGTTAACTTTACAGCTTTACTTAAATTAAATTGCATTTTTAAATTAAAAAGAATTATCTTTTCCAAAAATTTCTCTGTTTTTTAATTATATTTTCAATTTTTCAAATATAATTTATTAAATTTCCCAAGACGGACCTGAAACCATTTACTTAACCATAATTAATACTTTGAATTTTGTAATTTAAATATAAAATATTGCCTCTTACCTAATTGAATTTAATATATTTAATTTCTCGGGGTTTATTTTATTTTAAATTTGTGAATTTTTTTCTACTTTATTTTCCTTCTCAACTTTTCTAAGCAAAACCCTAATTTCACAACTCCTCCCAAAAATTCCGATTTAAAATTTTGAATTTTTCATTAGCTCACTTAATGCTCTGCAAATGCAGATATTAAGCTTTAAGTTCAAGAAATTACAGTGAGCAGATTCTAACTGTAGCTTTGATGATCTTTGAATATTCAGAGCTGATTTCTAATTTCAAGATTTATAGAGATATAAATTGGGTTTTATTTATGATTTTTTTTTGTGTGTGTATTTTACTAATTTTATGAGGATTTAAGTTTTATATAATTTTCTGTTCAAAGTTTTTCTTTTTTTTTTTCCCAAGTTAGTGCGATCATTTGAGCTAAAATATTTGATTTCTACTCTTTTTTTTCTCTGAATTAGGGTTTAAGATTTTAATTTAAGGGTTTAAAGTTTTTTTTTTTTTTTATTTTATCTTCTAGTTGTTTTATAAAATGGAGGAAAAAGAAGGATTGAATGGTTCTGCAATCTCAGTGAAAGGTGATGAATCTATACAGAACGTCAGGGTGGAACCAGGGGTTGAAAACTCTGGCCAATTCAGTGGATCAGCCACCGCTCCTCAACCAGCACCACCTGTCAACGCGGTGGTGCTGCCTGAGCATACTGAGGGGAAGAAGAAGAAGAGGGGAAGGCCAAGGAAGTATGCGGCAGATGGTTCAGTGGTAGCATTGTCACCTATGCCGATATCGGCTTCAATTCCCTTTACCGGAGATTTTTCAGCGTGGAAACCGGGAGCAGTTCGGCCAATCGCCCATTTCAAGAAGAAGCATAAGCTGGAAATGGAAAGTCCAGGTACTGATTTGGCGTTTGTTGCTGTAGGGATTTATTTAGATTTACTGTTGCATATATATAATTAGAATGTTGTGTAGTCAATATGTGTGAGTATGATGGTGTCATGTTTAATATTTATGGCAACTGTATAGAAACTGGATCTACTTATCTGCTTTTCTTTCAGAGGGCGTTCTTGTGTTTTTGGGTCAATTTTAAATGATATTTTACGTGCCAAATGTGGAATTCCGACCCTTTGAAACTGCGACTGGACATCAGGGATTCTTCAATTCTGAGATGATGTACTAGATTCAAGATCTGTCTTTATTCAGAAATTGCAGGATAAAAAAATTGATGCTATATTTGGTAGGGAGCATTTGGACAGCACTAGAGAATATTAAGAATAAAAAATGACTAATATTTTGTCATTAAAATGTAGAGTCCTGTTCAATACTGCATACCAAGCATGCATTAAGTGAATAGTGATGACAAGGTAACGTAAAATTTGTTAATCTGATGCCAAAAATGGGTATAATGTTTGCTATTTCAGAAGTTAATACAGTCTTTCATGAAGTTCCACTGTAAAGCATATTTTAACATGATTCATTGTCTCAATTTATGCATGCAACCAAGCGTATTTGGTTTAAAACATAGACCAGTTAGTATATGACCCCAGCCAATAATGCAGAGGAACACGCCATTTACTAGGAGAATTTCAGCATTTGACTCCTGTTAATGTCAAGCTTGAAAATATCATTTTTCTTGTTGTTCAGACCACCTCCATTGGTGCATGATCAGTAAAGAAATTTACTGTTCTGGCTTAATTGTTGCAGAACTGACGAATAATAAATAATCAACAATCAATGAAAACATCAAACAATGATAGTACCTGGGTGAACCAAAGGTTTTGAGGGATAGAATCGAACGCAATTGTGATGTTATAGAGAGTTTGGACAGCCAAATAGAAGTTTTTGAAGTACTTATGAAATGATTTCTGAGGTAATGGGGTAACAAGTAAAAATTTCATAAAAATTGTAGGTCCTTGTGTAATTTAGCATGCTTGTGCGTTTAATGAACTTTTACATTTATCCTATCGAATGCCTTGACATTTATCTATATTTGTTAGGAGGATCAGTGGCATACTCTGTCGGTGCAAGTTTTACACCCCATGTGATTACTGTTAATGCTGGCGAGGTACTTTTAAGCACAAGCAAATTTGTCGATTTCCTTTTCGTTCATTTTGATTTACCTAAAACTTATTCTCCATTAATGTTTTTTCACGTATCTCTTCAACTGAAGAAGGCACCATAGTGCATCCCACAAGTGTGACCTCAGAAATTTTTTTTATATTTCTTATTTATTTATTTATTTATAATTTTGCCCCTATTGAGTCTTCAAGGCGAACTAATGTTGTATTACATTTAAATTAGGGTTGGGCAAAATGTCTGAACCGAACCGAAACCGAATTGAGCGGGTTTTTTTAAATGAAATACCCGAACAGGTATCCGAATCGAGAACCGAATGGTTTGGTTCGGTTCTCGGTTCTAGACCTAGATCCGAAGAATCGAATAAGAATCGAAATTTTTTTTTTTATATTGGATAAATCAATTTCTTTTATTTTTTCTAAATAAATTAATAATTTTTTTCTTATTAAATTTTATTACTTGGACAATTTAGAGTTTATTTATATTTGTTAGTTGTGT